AAAAAAAAGAAAAAATCTTGGTTTTGGGGAAATAAAGTAGAAGTTGCAACTGGAGACTGATCACTAAGACTTGAAAATGGATTCTTCTCTTTTTTCTTCATATTTCTCAATTTCAGGTGATGTTTCATTATTCCTACATGATTTATTGTAACTTGTGATACTAGACGAACTTTTAGTCATAAAACATAGATGAACCATTTATAATATTCTAATATTAATTTCAAGACTTGGACATTATATGTTGATTTATCTTGGAGGAGTTATAGAATTTAATATTTTTCAATTAATTAGCTACTAGCTAAATTAATGTGGGATCTTTATTGTATTCGACGGAATTGATAAGAAATATAGTACGTTATAATAACAGTTGAAGGTCGAAAAAGGGATAGAGATATAACGATATGTCTTGTACGATTTAAATATATAGTCTCATGATATTAATGCATTATTTCATATTCGCATCTTTTATAAAGATATAGGAAGATCATATATGTGAATATGTTCAATTTTATTTGAGAAAGATTGTTAAACAAAATGAGAACATTAATCAACAAGAATAAACATTGTCAGAGTCTTGAATTGTATCAAGGGAAATTTGAGGTCTTAGTGTGTATTTTAAATAAGTTTCACAAACGCTTACTTAGTTGCTCATCAGATTAGTTTAAATAAATAGTGTTAGAAATCAACAATCATAAATATGCTATTCAACAAGAGCTAGTATTAATTAGAACTGCTTCAAGCACACAGTCATGGGAATGATACTTTACTCATTTTTTATTAATTACTTGACTACAATATCTTGCACTAGCGAAATTTTATTGAACAAACTTATTTAGTACATAGTTCTCATAAGAACGGTACTTTGCTCATTCTTTATTACTTGACTTATATCGTGCACTTGCAAAATTTTATTTATTAATTTTTTTGTGTTGTTTTCTGACTATAGTGTTTTGTTAGTTTTAGTAAGTTATACCTTTAATTTCCACGACTAAGGTATTTAGTTTTGAATTTTTTATTGCTTTCTTTAGTTTGTAGTTTATATTATCAAAATTATAGTGTTTTCCTTCTTTATATTTCTTTATTTTCAAGATCTCGTATGCAAAATTTAAGATACGGTGATCTTACTCCATTTGATTCAAAATTCGAATGAATATTTAGGTTGAGACAACAAATACAAACACGCGCAGAAAAAATAGCAAGTAAAAGCAATGTCATAAAATATACAAAATTCAATCGCCATTATGGTGAATGAAAATGAAGCACATTCGATTGTAGTTGTGGCTAACGAAAATGAGGGACTAAGTTGTTCCATCAGTAGTAGAGAATCGATCGAGCATAGCTTATCTATCATTTGGGCAAGAAAATTTTTATCTGAGAATAGATGTGATCAATATGTGTGCAACTATTGAGTATTCGTGTGTTTCCAGTGATGAATGTGTCGTAAAAAAAAATAATGTAATAAAATGAAAATTTGTCGTCTAAAAGGGATTTCAATGCCTTAAAAAAAAATTATTTATTTTTAAAAAAACAAGTACGCAAAATTTTACAATCATAACCAAAGCTTTAATTTGAACACTTAAGAAAGGGTCGTAGTATAACCCAAAATTTATTCGAGTTCTACAAGAAAATTTTATTTTAAAACGAAACAAAATAATTTTTTTATCCTTTCACTACAAACCCCCTCTCCAACACATATGATTTTGGGTTGGAGAAATCATTCAAACTTCTCTTGGAGTAATGCATAGTCATCTCAGAGCGCACCACCTCAGCATACACTACCGGCTTTTCAACAGCAAGAAAGGAAAGCTCCATGGAAAGAAGCAATTGGTTAAATAGCAAGGATTACTACTTAATTTATGCAAAAGATTGAGATGAACCTCTAATTTGTTCGTAGAACTATTCAGTCGATCCTGAATTTTTTGGGAATGCCTCAAACATAGAGATGATTCCTCTTCGATATGAATTTATCTAATTCAGAAAGGAAGAACTTACATCAATATATCAATTACAAATCATGGTAGCTTTGAGACTACTTCGGTCCATATTTGTCCTCCAGTCAAATTTTCTTTCTTTGGCCTTGAGCAGATTGTGGTAAATATGTTTTGCTTTGCTTTCCCCTCCGAGGGTTTGATGGAGTGGAGTATATTAAGATGGTGGTGTTAGATACTGGTGAGAAGAGTATCTAGTTTGATCGAACTCGTGTCATAGATAGCTTTGATATAGTAGCAAAATATTCATTTTTATTAAATGCGATAAATGATCGCATGAACAAATAAACTTACAAAAGAATCAAATCCAATATTCATTTTTAAAATCCCGTAGTAGAAAAATAAATGAAAAAATTCTTAGTTCGATTAGTCGCGTAGTAATATCAAATTATATGCATGTGCTTGGAATACTTAGCTCAGCATCATGATTTTGAACTCATCGAAGCTGAGCACCCCGTCGCCGTTGAGATCAAATCGATCAATCATTCCAACACTTCATCGACAGACCTCGACTCTCCCATTATGCTCAGCATTCTCTTTAGGCTTCTTGGAGTAATGCATTCGTTTCCTTCCATTTCATACATTCTAAACGTCTTTTTCAGGTCCTCCATTCTCTCTTCTTCGTTATCACTTTCGACCAAACACTCCAATTCATCCATTCCCAGAATCCCGTTCGCACCGGAAATTAACGGCGCAACCACCAGTTGTACCGCTTCAAGTGATAAATCACCGCAAATTGATCCAATGCAACGGTGGAGCTCCAACGGGGTAAGTTTTCCATCTTTGTTTTTGTCGAAATAGTTGAATACACGTTCGCACTTTTTCATCATATAACGTACTATAAGAAGCAATCAAATTAAACTGAAACACGAAAAGGGATTATGGAATTGAGTAGACAAGATATGATGGATTGTTTATGTTGTGGGTAGTATTTATATCTGTTTCCCACGCGATTTGAGAAAATTGGAATCTTGAATGGTCAATAAAGGTTGAAACCCACGGTTTGGGAGTTTCCGGGTCCTGGCGGGGAAGTAGACAAGAAATGTTGCTCATCAGATTAGTTTAATTAAATAGTGTTGGAAATCAAGAATCATAAATCAGATATTTGACAAGAGCTAGTATTAATTAGAACTACTTTAAGCACACAGTCATAGAATTACTTTACTCATTTTTTATTACTTGACTTATATCGTGGACTTGCGAAATTTTATTTATCAAAATTTTTTTGTTGTTTTCTGACTATACTATTTTTTTTTAGTTTTAGTAAGTTATGACTTTAATTTCCATGACTAAAATATTTAATTTGTTTTATTAGTTATAACTTTAATTTGAATTTTTTATTGCTTTCTTTAGATTGTAGTTTATAATATCAAAATTATAGTGTTTTCCTTTTTTTAAAAAAAATAATAAATTCAAGATCTCATATGCAAAATTTAAGATACGATGCTCTCACTCCATTTGATTCAAAATTCAAATGAATATTTAGGTTGAGACGACAAATACAGACGCTCAGAAAAAATAGCAAGTAAAAGCAATTTCATATAATATACAAAAGTGAAACGCCATTGTGGTGAATGAAAATGAAGCACATTTGATTGTAGTTGTGGATAACGATAATGAGGGATTAAAGAGGAACTATGTGTTGGGAATTTACTTAAACATTCACAGTGGAAATAAACAGTTTCAATTCTCACCAAAATTCATCTTTGTATTTAGATAAGAACTCTGATGAAAAATATATATTTTTCTTGATTTTGCAAATTGCTTTGCGTTATCATTTTCCAGCAACTTGAATCTGCCTCCCATAACTGTCCAATTGTTCAGCCTCCAATGAAATCCACACAGAGAATAGACTGCAACTGCTAGAATTTTTCCTCTTGTGCCAGCAAGAATAATGAAAATAACATGGATCTCAAACCTTAACTATGTATTTATATAAACCCAAACGGGCTCGGCTCGGCCCGGTCCGATTCAATATTTAATTAAACCCGATCCGTGAATTAAATAACCCAATTAATTAATTCGGGGATATAAATAATCAATCCAATTAATTAATTTATCCAACGATTGTTAAAATAATTAATTGACAATTTGCAATCTTCCAATTCTCTTTGGTGTGCGACCCATTAGGTTCCCGACCACGATGCATAAGTGAAATATTATTTTGATCTAATCAAAACTGATAAATTAAACACCCTTTTAATTTATCACAAATTCACACTCACCGTCCCAAATTGACATCTAGCAATGTATTAGGGCAACACATGTGATGGAAAATGTCACGTGGTATGACAAAACCAAAGCTGTTTGTTTACCATGAAACTATAATCCCTTCGTCAATATGATTCGATCAACTACGAGATATGGAAGTGTGTCAATCTCGATTATCGATCATATCTTTCATTTTACTATTAAGTCAATATGAGTCGAAAACTCATTTTCGACTAATATGTATACCTTGGCCAAGGATTTCGTTATCGATCTAATTAAATGAAATGCAGATCATAATCTCTTACTATCTAAGAGTGACGAATCCTCTATTAGTCATTCACAACCTTCATATGATTCTTGACATACCCAAACGATGTCGTATTAGCGGCCCTTGGCAGAGCAACATCCAACACCGTCAAAGCACGATTGTCCTCATACATGGCACTATAATGACCTTAAGTCATAGGACCAATTCCACTACCGAACGTTAGAGATTAATCACTAATACTCAAATAGTTATCCATGTGGAATCTCTTAGCGGGTCTCCAATGTTTTGTTCTATAACAAAATATCCACGTATTCATTTAAGTGTCACCACATTTTAGCTCGTGAGATCAGCTACTTACTTCATAAGTAAGAAATGCCACACATGATGGTCTATCTATATTAACGATATCCGTATCTCGTTATTACTTACTATCACGGTTTATTCAAGATCCAATCATACGTAATTTGTATCTCATAATCACAACTCCTTATGATTAACAAATCACTTAAATTTGGATTTTCGGACTATATTATTTAATATTATTTATCACAAAATTAATTTAAATAAATAATAGATCTTGCCAAAATTAAATGCATTAAACATATTAAAAGTGTTTACAACCTAAATCGATTGGATTTAGGCATAACACTTACAATACGTTGCTCCATCAGTAGTAGAGAATCGATCGAGCATAGCTTATCTATCATTTGGGTAAGAAAATTTTTATCTGAGAATAGATGTGATCAATATGTGTGCAACTATTGAATATTCGAGTGTTTCTAGTTCTAAAATCCAATTGAGATTGTTTCCACATACATTGAGGGAATTTGCTAGAGAATGGTTGAATATGTTCTTACCACATCACAACATGGAATAGTTAATGCCAAAAGTCCTTGAATAACTTTTTTCCACCAAACAGGACTGTCAAGTTGAAGAATGAAATCAATAAATTCTTTCAGTTTGATTCGAAATGCGACTATAAGGCATGGAAAAGATACAAAGTGTTACTCCGACAATGTCGATAACGTGGCTCCAAGTCGAATATTTCTACATTGAACTAAATTTAACTAACAGAGCTAACGTTGACTTTGCTTGTGATGGATCAATCACCAGCAAGAAAGCCGATCACGTGTATCAAATTATAAAAGATCGTGTTGTCACTAGTGCATTATGGTCATCTAATAGATCAATGGAAAGAGAGCTATGGGAATTTATAAGGTTAATACATGACAACGATTTTAGCTCAGCTTGTAGCATTAACTAAAAAAGGTTGAATTGCAAATAATCAGACAGTGAATACAGTTCAAGTATCCAGGCTGAAGTGTAAACATTGTAGGAAAAATAATGAAAGTATAGACTATAATATGGGAAGCCCATTTATCAAATCAACTTAGGGAAAATTACAACAAAGGTCCCAAACGTTTCAATTTGTTGCAGAATATACCTTAACCTTTTATTTTTGCGAACACAATCCCAAACCTTTCACTTTAACAGCCCTCGGAGTCCATTGGACAGAATCTGTCCAACATTCTGTTAGTCAACTCAAAAGTTCAAACTTTGACTCAACTTAACAAATTAAATGACGAGTAAAATGGTAAATTACAATTTTTTTTATAATAAAGGAAAATAATTATATTAAAAACCAATAAAATAAATAAATAAATACACTATTTATCTCCTTCAATCCCCACTCTTCTAAACACCCTCTCCCCCATCCCCCAAAAACTAGAAAATCAGTGTTGGCCATCGTCATCGGCCATTGACCTATTCTTCTCATCCAATGACCTATGCCCAACACCCACCAACTAGTTGTCTTTCTAATTCTCATTCTAATTTAATTTCATGGAACCCTCTTCAAAATCACTAGACATTGAACAATTTTTTTTTTCCAAAATTTGTAATTTTCCATTTTCTGAAAAGTTCTTTGTTTAATTTCTTCATAACCTATTTCATTTGTATCCACAAAATCGTTAAATCAGGTGCTGCCAGACCCAACGTGACTGGAATCGGACCAAACTTCCACCAGTGTATGGAAGAAACATACAATTAAACACAATTACACATGCATCATTGTGTCTATATCTCTATATCCATTATGTATTGAAGTGCAATTGTGCAGAAATGTTGTTTTCAAGTAAAAATCTGGGGACATTTTGGAGATTCGGATGGATAAAATTGGAAGTATGCAAATCGGAGAATTTACAGAAATATTTTTTTAGAAGGCCTTGACATTTTTGGCAATTTTTGCTCTATTTACATGTGGCCATGATTTTGGGTGTTTGTGGTGCCTAGCGGTTTCATGGTTGGTAGCCATCAACGGTGGCGGTGCAAAATGGCATGATATATATATATATATATATAGGGTTTGCGAATGGGTCATTGGGATAGAGTAGGTCAATGGCTGGTGCGATGTCTGGGCTAATGACTGCGGTCAGCACAGACTGATTTTCTGGTTTTAGTTTTAGGGATAGGTGAGGGTTGGAGCGGTGGGGATTGAGGAAGATGAATAGTGTATTCATTTATTTATTTTATTTTATTGGTTTTTGATATAATTATTTCCCTTTATTATAAAAAATGTAATTTACCATTTTACCTTGTACTTAATTTTTCAAGTTGAGTCAAAGTTTGAATTTTGAGTTGACCAACGGAATACTGGACGGATGCTGCCCAATGGACTTTGAGTGCCGTTAAAGTGAAAGGTTTGGGATTATAGTCGCAAAAAATAAAAGGTTAAGATATATTCTACAACAAAGTGAAAGGTTTGGGACTTTTGCTGCAATTTTCCCAATCAACTTAGGAGGCAAATTATATGCAACACTATCAGAGACAGTAATACAACCCCCTCTCCAACACATACGATTTTGGGTTGGAGAAATTATTCAAACTTCTCTTGGAGTAATGCATAGTCATCTCAGAGCGCACCACCTCAACATACACTACCGGCTTTTCAACAGCAAGAAATTAAGGAAAGCTCCATGGAAAGAAGCAATTGGTTAAATAGCAAGGATTACTACTTAATTCATGCAAAAGATTGAGATGAACTTCTAATTTGTTCGTAGAACTGTTCACTCGATCTCGAATATTTTTGGGAATGCCTCAAACAGAGATAATTTCTTTTCAATATGAATCTATGTAATTCAGAAGGGAAAAACTTGCATCAGTATCTCAATTACAAATCATGGTAGCTTTAAGACTATCTCGGTCCATTTTTATCCTCCCGTCAAATTTTCTTTCTTTGGCCTTGAGCATATTGTGGTAAATATGTTTTGCTTTGCTTTCCCCTCCGAGGGTTTGATGGAGTGGAGTATATGGGGATGTTGGTGTTAGAAACTAGTGAGAAGATTTGCCTCTTATTCTTTGTATCCAGTGTATCTAGTTTGATCGAACTCGTGTCATAGATCGCTTCAATATAGTAGAAATATTCATTTTTATTAAATGCGATAAATGATCGCATGAACAAATAAACTTACAAAAGAATCAAATCCAATATTCACTCGAAAAATCCTGTAGTAGAAAAATAAATGAAAAAATTCTTAGTTAGTGACGCAGTAATAGCATATTTTATGCATGTGCTTGCAATACTTAGCTCAGCATCATGATTTTGAACTCATCGAAGCTGAGCACCCCGTCGCCGTTGAGATCAAATCGATTAATCATTCCAACACATTCATCGACAGACCTCGACTCTCCCATTATGCTCAGCATTCTCTTTAGACTTCTTGGAGTAATGCATTCGTTTCCTTCCATTTCATACATTCTAAACGTCTTTTTCAAGTCCTCTATTCTCTCTTCTTCGTTGTCGCTTTCGACCAAACACTCCAATTCATCCATTCCCAGAACCCCGTTCTCACTGGAAATCAACGGCGCAACCACCTGTTGTACCTCTTCAAGTGATAAATCACCGCAGATTGATCCAATGCAACGGTGGAGCTCCAACGGGGTTAGTTTTCCATCTCTGTCTTTATCGAAATAGTTGAACACACGTTCGCACTTGTTCATCATATAACGTACTGGGAAAAGCTATCAAATAAACTGAAACAAGAAAATGGATTATGGATTTCAGTACACAGGATATGATGGATTGTTTATGTTGTGTGTAGTATTTATACCTGTTTCCCACGCGATTTGGAACTGGGGAATCTGAAATATGAGAAAATTGGAATCTAGAATGGTCAATAAAGGTTCAAACCAACCCACGGTTCGGGAGTTTCTTGGTCTTGGCGGGGAAGTAGACAAGAAACGTGGTGGGTTAGGTAGAGTCAATGTGGACTTGTTATCATGGTTCTGGAATGAAGTTACATCACAGTTGCCTATCATTTTCAGTTTTAATGCTGGCTAACATTACCGGTCCTCGACGCTCTCTTAAGTAATTGAGAGGCCCACCAATCAGAGCCCCCAGGGCACATTTCCAAATGGTAAAAGAGGAGGGTGGAGAAATCCAACTTTATTTGAGGCTGCTACGTCAAGGGTTCGAATCCTGAAATATGGATTTGGCTCTTGGATAAGTGCAAGTGTACAAGCAACCTTCCACCCTGTACCCTTGGAGGCATAACTTGCGATTTACCTCCCTCACGATGCTCCAGGACAGGGGTGGTGGGGGACTCTTAAGGTTAGGGTTTAACCTTTTTTGAGAGGCTCACCAATAAGAGCCTGTTTGAAAGTGATTTTGAGAATTGATTTTTTGACCTTTAGGAGAAAAATGGAATTCACCTGTGAGAGAATAAGTCAAATATAACGATTGAAATAGTAAAATAACGATTAAAAAATCAATTTTTTGGAGGAAAAAATCACTCCTAAACAGCTGTAAATTTTTAAGCGTCTATCTCGGTGCAATTGTTGTAGAAAAAAATCGATTTTTCAGTCACCTCACTGATCCCACACTTGTTTGAAATATAATCAAAGTTCTGCCAATTTTTTTTGAAAGCACAGTACTTTAAAATAAACCAAAAGTCTATTATGCCCTTTTCATTTTTTATTTTTTTATTTGGCAACAATATTTGACCGGCCCCACAAAGTGAATTGATTTTGAGGGTAAATAAGGAATATGAGCAACCAGTGAATTATGGGTACAATGTATATTCAGAAAAGTAGTCAGATATTTGTTAATTTTAATTGCCATTTAACCGACCCCAGACAAGAGCCCAATTTTATTTTATGTCTTACGATATTAAGGTCCCGTTTGGAAGTGATTTCGAAAATTGATTTTGTGATCATTACAGTCACCATGTCATGTCATTCGGACTTCAAAATGCTGGAGTACTGGGTAGCATCCATTGAGAATGGCAGGATTGTTGTGAAAGCCCCATTAGGAAAAAAGTAGAGACCATTTGTGAGAGAAAAAGTCAAATTTTACAATTGAAATAGTGAAATAATTGTCAAAAAATCAATTTTTTGGAGTGAAAAATCAATTCCAAACAAGCTCTGAATAAGAAGCATGTTGGAGGGTAGGCCCCCTAATGATCATCAAATCAATTCTTAAAATCGCTCCCAAACGGGACCTAAGACATGATGGTTAATTTTAAAGAATATTGCTACTTGTACATAACAAGTTATATAATGGTTTACAAATAGATGAAGTGTCAAAAAAAAAAGAGAGAGAGAATATTTTTTTATTTTTTATTTGGTTGAAGAAATTTTAATTCAATAATAAATAAAGTTTTATATAAATATAAGTGAGGTCGGGTGTATGATACTTGTTCGGTCCTTCAATACTTAAATTTTAGCTTTCCATTTTTCCTAATTCTAATTGTTTTTGAAATAAATGTAGTCAACTTTACATTGACGAAATAACCCTAGAATATGTCATCACGTGCAAAGCATGTAATTATTTGGTTGAAAAGTGAGAGCTGAACGAGGAAAATGATTAAGAAACAATGTAATGGAAGAGTGGTTGCGAATCGCCAGCAACGACTAACTACAGTTTTTAATCAATAAATCCATGATAAGTCGTCATGAACTTATTATTATTATTATTATTATTATTATTATTATTATTATTATTATTTTATTTTATTTTATTTTTTTTTTTTTTATAGAACTCTATTCGATTCGTTTGATTTCTGACTTTGTATAAAATATTCATAGCATTTAGATCTTTATAACATGCCGTAAAACCATTTATTTTGTGGCCCATGTAATATTTAAGAATTAATTAAAGGTGATTAATATTACTAAAATCCTATTGGTCCAATTGAAAAGTAACAGTTTTATAACTGTTTACTTTGATGAAAAGTGGAAAGTTTTATGGCCAATAGAAAATTGCCTCTCTGCCTATAAACGTGAATAAAACACATCAATTAAATTACAGAGAGGAAAGATGAGATAACAATTTCTTTAATTTAACAATTCTCTCTCTTTTTCTTTTTTTCTTCTTTTTTTTTTTTGCAGATTTAATTGCTCGATTATTGTCATGGATCAATGTATGTTTCTTTATCAATTAAATTATATGTGAAAATCATGAAATTCTTAAAATCTTGGTATTAGGGTTTAAGTGCTTACACATGCATGTAATTTATTACCGTGTAACTATTTTTAGAGATTCCCATGAAAGATTATTGAATGATTTAACCACGGACTAGACTTTAACTCAAGTCAAAAAAAAAAAAAAAAAAAAAAAAAAAAAACCCCAAAAAAAAAATTTTTTTATATATTCCATACACAATTTGTACACAATAACATACGAATATCATCAATTTCATTTGGGTATTTAGACAAATAAGTTGGGCAAGTTCTACTTCAGTCACCTTGGATATCGAGTGATGAACACATGACATGACTTATAAATGAATTTTGAGCTTGTCTCGACTCACAATCACTACGTATAAGGTCAAGTAGTTTGTCCGTGTTCATCTCCTAACTATGTCAAGATTTTTCAACTTAATCGTGTCAATGTTGGGTTGAGTCATATTTTGATGTTAATAAACAAGTATCATCGAAACATGAATCAACAACAAATCATATTTCTCGTATTGAACTCCCCAACATGACTTCTATTAGCATCGAAACATGGTTCAAATGAATTCTTATTCTACCTTCTTGACAAATGGGTCATTACAACTTTAAATTTTACATCGAATGTGCATTGCATAACATCATATTGAGTCCTCACGATAAAAAATATCATATTCATAGTATTTGTCTGCTTCCTCGAGGAGATTTGATCACACTACATATTCCAATGCAGAAGATCATTAAATCATATACATTATAGAGTAAAATGGAATTGATGCATGTTAATGCAAAAATATTTATGAATTTTGACATAGCAAATTTAAACAATACCATGAACTTTTGGCAAGATTTAGCAAGAAGTCCACGGACATATATTAAAGAATGCTTTTCAATGATGGATGTAAGACTCATAATATAAAAAAAAAAAAAAAAAAAAAAAAAAAAAAAAAAAAAACAACTCACTACGTAAATCATTTTACAGCTTCAATCATTCACTTTATTGCTATATTTATTAGATTGCTCCCATTCATTAGACGTTGTTAATTCAAATTTACATTAAAATCTTTACAAAATAATAATGTTTGGATCGAGAAATTTTTTTACTTTAATGGGGTTTTTAATTTGTTTATTAATATATCGATAAATTAATTACATGAAGCTATTTCTAGTTATTAATGCTATAAAAATGTGAGGAATTCAACACATCTTGAATTATCCTTTTGAAAATTATACGATAATGAAATAGCCAAAGTGAAATTAGTTCCTTGAAAAAATAAAAATAAAATTGGAAAACTAGAAAGTTCGTAAAATATATATCTTTGAAAATTGAATAGTGACAAATGATAGTTCAAGTATTAGATGAAAAACTTTGATGAAAATGAAAATTAAGTTCAACCAATCAAAGTATTTCAATGAGAAGATGAAGAAGAATTAAATGAAATTTAAATTTAAATAATCTTCTAAAAAAATCTCTCTTTTAATGAATAATTATAATAAATCAAGTACTAAGAGAGATTAAAAACTTTGATGAATATGATAATTTTACAAATTTGATTCAATCAATCAACGTTTTTAATATGAAGAAGTTGAAAAATTTCTGCAATAAAACTGCAAAGAGCTTTTTTCAAGAATATATCTCTTTGAAAATTGATATAAATAAGTCCAGCATAAAGAAATATGAAAAACTTTGATGAAGAAATGATTCAAGAAATTTGATTCAACAATCAAAAATTTTCAATCTGAAGAATTGGAAAGATTTATGCAATGTAAATGCAAGTACATTCTTCAAGAATATACAACTCTTTTAAGAATGGTATAAATAAATTAAACACAAAGAAAGATGGAAAACTTTGATGAGAATGATGATTAATGAGTTTGAATCAATCAAAATTTTTTATATGAAAAAACAAATGAAATGAATGCAAATGAAAGCTCAAAGAATTCTTAAAACAAAAATATCCCACTTTGATTTACTTGGAAATCTTATGAAGAATGAAAAGAGTGAGGATATTTATAGAGTTCAAAAAGGGGGGGAAATCTATATTTGCAGAATGCTAGTCCGGTCGACCGTCTCTTGTCCGGAAGATCAATATAGCCATTTGAACAGCAAAAATCAGAATTCAGAGTGGTCAAATTCTGGACCATTAGAGGGTGTCTGGTCGACCCCTCCTAGGGTAGCGCGGTGTTTTTTATGTTTTAGCCCCATTTGTTCCGATTTGGAAGTTTTAAATTGCATGGACCTTTGAAAAATATTTTTAACTATTCTTTCATGATAAAAATGTTTTTTAAAGTCCAAATATCATTTTTAAAAATCATTTTTATATTTGATCAAAACGATGCATTGGAATGACTTTTAGTACACAAAAATTATTTTTTATGCATGGAAGGATTTTGAGCTTAACCATTCATTGCCAAATATTAAAGTGTTAGTACCTTTACATTTTACCTAAGAAATCAAGTCTTTAATCTTCCTCCGAAATTTGGCTCTTAAATTATTGAATGTGTGACTTCGATCTTGACATCTTTCTTTGATGCCATCTCTCGTGCTCTTGATCTTTCTTCGTCTCTAATGATTTGACCTGAGTACTTAGTGCTTAATTGATTTTAAAATTGAACTATCATTATTCAAAATAATTTGTTAGAAACAATATTAATCTGGTTTGTTATGATCAACCACGGGTAAACAGAGTGGTGCTTGCTTAGTCGAACAATTTGGCGAGATATTGAAAGAAAATTCGGTAAATCTACATTCCACCATTTAGGCTTATCACCACAAGCACATTGAATTATGTAACCTGGTGTGATTTTAGCCACTTCGATTTAACCATCAGTGTGTGGATGATAGGGATGGCAACGGTGTGGGGGCCCCACCCCGCCCCTATCCCGTCCCGCCTTAGACGGGGCGAGAGGCTTTTTGTCTTGTTTGCTACCCCGTTTATTTTTATTTTTATTATTTTTTATATACATTTTCGAAATTTTGAGTTCTGCAATTATTAGAGATTAAAATACAAATTCAAAATGAATTTTTAAAGAATGAATTTTCTAGAAATAAAATTGTTTTTGATTCAAATATAAGTTTGGTTCAAATGAATGATAAAATGCAAGATTATTGTTTTCGTTTATTATCTAGGTTTGCTCTATAATGATAAGATGTGATACTCTTTGTTAATTTTATTGGTTGTTATCAAATGCATAATTTAAATATAGAAGATTGTTTTCAAGAGAGTTTTTAGTTTACCATTTTTCATTTTATTTGCACAATTCAACTTTTTTTTTTTTTTTCATGAACACGGGGCAGGTCTTAATTTTTTTCCAAGCATCCTACAGAAATGATTTGGAACATTTTTGACAAGTAAATATATTATTTCGATATTCTAACAGAAGAGAACACAAATCAATCTTGATCTTCCAAAATAATCAAACGGGTCTACTAAAAAATTTATGCCAAAGTCAGTCCATCAATTTTTATTTATTTTTCCCCCCAAGAATCACTCCTTTAATAATTTTTTCATCTTGGTCCACGTTCAAATACGCTGGCTTTGACGATTATATTGCAATTGTTCTCTATATTTATAAGCCACGAGTTTAACTTGCCATTCCTCGTGAATTTTCAAATATTCAAAGAAAATTCTTGACCCTTTGCGTCGCTTCGTATGCTGAATATCTGCATCGTCAGCCCGAATTATGGAGTAAACGAAAGTCTTCGTCAGAAATCATTAGCCATTCTTCTATTGCAAGCCCAGATACGTTGCCACCAAGGGTTCGAATCTCCTTCAAGACCAAACAAAAAGGTCCTCTATGTGCTGGTTGGTGGTCACCGTCGACCTTTGGTCAGCGATGGACCGATCGATAGGGGAAAGAAAGAAAAAGAAAAGCAACCATAGATGCATATGTATAGAAAAATTGAATTAAAATTATAAAAAGGCGGTTATATTATTCACACCAAATTTTTTACAAGTACACCACATTTAATTAATTAAATATCATTAATCTTTATTCACTATCACATTTATATTCTTAATTTTTTTTTCGTCACATTCTTATTTTAACCATTTTATTGATTAAAAAAAGCTTGTCATTAATCATGATTTTTTTTTAAAAATATTGTTAACATGCTTTAAAACGAGGGTCAAATATTTAATCTTATTTTCGCATTATTACTTGTTTTACTTATTTAAAAATACAATGGACAAACATTTTTATACTCTATCCTAAAGAAAAAATTGGAGAGAAACTATTATCACGAACAATTTATGTTAATTTGAGAATCGAGTGCGACAAAAATAACTTTTTTGACCGTAACTTACTATAATCAGCCGTCATTTTTGACATCTTCACTCACAGGTAGGATTCACATTTTAAGTTAATTATCAAAAAATCAATTCTTATAATCAGCACCAAACAAACCCTTAACATTATTGAATTTGTCAAAGTAAAAAATTTCAGAGTATGTATTAAGAAGTTCTACTTTTTCTTAACAAATATTGTTTTACATTTTCATTGAGCCTTTCTTTAAAAACTATTATCTCATGAATATAGCGAGATGATTAATTTTTTAAATTGGCTCGAATAGGGACCAAGAAATCTTACTTTTAAGCGAGGTTATTGACATTCACTGATTTGCGGAAGTTTTATAGTATTTCTCGTCTTCTAATATGTTCCAAAGGGACACCCAATAAAACCAAGAAAAGTAGATGTATCTTTGATGGAAGCTGCTACAAATTTTCAAAATGATTATGCATCATTTGATGCATAATTTCTTTGCATAAACTAAGTTACCAACACAATCAAACTTTGAAAAAAAATAAAAATAAAAAATAAAATAAAACACTAGCTTAGGAAGACGGAAGTTAGCTTTCACTAACAGTTTCGAATTTTGATAATTGTTATACTTTTGAAAAGTCAAAAGCTACTTTAGAATATTTTGATTCGTTAGAAGAACTTTTAAATTTTTTAAAAAGCACTTCTAAAGAAGCAGTAGTAGAAGAAAACTTCATAGAAAATACTGCCTTCTTCCCATATCCTTCCACCTTGACGAGTGCTTCCTGGTATTGGGCTGCAGACACTGCCCTGGCCAGGCCAAGCCGGACTTGCCTAAACAGGATTCTTACAAAAACTATGTGAATCAAAAAATAGAAGAATGCAACCAATACAGTAAACAACTGAGAATCAAAATCATAAAAATTCCAGTTACAGGGCCTTTTTTTCTCCCTTCTATTGTAAATCAAGAAATAAAATGGTATAAATAGAGATAATTGACTCCAATTGTTTCACCGGTCTTTTATACAAAACGAATGTTAATCATTATTTTTCCACTTTTCTTTACAATGCATACAGAAATAACATTTATAGGGTAACCTTTAGAAGTATTCCAATGAGCTTCACTTTGATTGCCTTTCTATGTCGATCTTTTCCCTCCCTTACCTCATCCTGGCCCCTTCCTCGACATTCTCTCCTCAACTGGCATTGAAAGAGGAAAGCAGTACAATAAAAATAGACGAGAAGTGGATAACATAACTCATCGGCAGGTCTGGGCACGTACTCATTGCTCTTGATGCAGGAAGCAAGAAGGAGAGTTGAGTCCTTGTGAGTTTAGGATCAGCCAGTTGAACCTGATTGCAACTCAGATAAATAACCCATGTTGATTCATCAAGAACAATGCCAACTCTCTGATCATGCGTTACTCAGGACGGATCAATAATGGTCTTTCCCAGAACAAAGGTAACAAGCGACAGTTCAATGAAGAATATTGTGTTTATTAGACCTCGATCTACTGTCCACCCAAAGATTGTAATCCCCCCAGGATTCGACTGCAAATACATCACTGCATAGACAGTGTAAAAACAATCAAACATGTAAAACGTATGCAGAAATGGTAACATCAGAAGAGAATGCAAAACCAAAAAGTAAGGGTATAACTCAAGTCTTAATGGATCAACGAGTTCAAGTATAATAGAAATTAATGTGTATCAGGTTCATTCATATATGAAAATCTAATGTAAATGTAACATTGCTTAATCTGCCAGAAACTAACATTGTAAGAGAATAGCAAGAGAACCTGGTATAAGATGTTAATAGAATTGAAACTGTCCCTCTAGTCATAACTCTATTATTGGTACCGTTGGTTTTCTCTATTTTTGGTGTTATTCACCGTCTTGTTTCCCAAATTCCAAAATGAGGCAAAGGAACACATCTTTTATTTTCTAACGACATGTAGGTAAATCTTCTAGAAGAAGAAACCATTTCTTTTGAAAATGGCAAGCTCTATCAATTCCGAGGGAGAAATGATGAGAAATGCTGCACATTAAACTTAGAACAAACTCTCAATATTAAAAACCAGAAAAGAAGTGTGTGATATATACCACTCTCACTAGTGACAGGGAAGTGTTTAGAGTAGATTTTCATATCAATACAGATTTTACAAAAAGAGAATAAAAGAATCAAAGACTAACAGGGCCAAACATGGTAACCTAAAGTCTTGAGTAAAAAAGGTAAGTTAATTACGGAAATACAAATTCTTTTGCTCTTGATGCCAAGCCTACATGTTAGTCGTCAGGATCAGCAAGGAGAAATCATTCGACTTTTCAAGATTGGAGTAACATAGAGCTCTTTTCACCAAAAATGCATTGCCGAATTGAACAAGTTTGTCTCAGCTTAAAAAGGTTTGCTTAAAAGTTATTTGATTCATCAAAACTGGAAATAAGTTAGTGACTTATTACATTAAGGAAAGAGTTAATTCCAAAATAAGTAACTAAGCCAGACATATTTGGAAACAATTTTTTAAGCTTAGCATCTAATTCTGTACAAAACAGCAGTAGTTAACTTACATACCTAGAGCTAGTCTCTTGTGGTACGAGGACATATAAGACGCCAATTGTGTATTTGTTGGCCCAACAACGAAATCAAGTGAATCCAAATCACTTTCTGAGTAGTTCATACATAACGAGCCTGACATATTAGCAGCATTTAGATTTCCCATGCTATTCGAAGTTCTCAACAGAGATGAATCGGTAGCACTACAAGTCATTAAAGCATGCCATCTACTTGCACGTGCACCGACAGCCTGGGCTCTGTGGGATATTTTTGCAGCGGCATTCAAGCAGAGAATTATTCCGATTACTTGAACAATTGAGGACACCTACAACCAGGAAATAGATCAAAAAACAAGATAAAATAACTTTAATTACCCAGGTTGCAGAACATAAATGCAGGTTTCCCACAAAAAGGACATGTTTGGCCAAGTCTAGAAAATCTATGCACTTAAAAAATAACTTTTAAGCTTAACTAACCTACTGAGCTTAGATGTTCCCTAAAAAATTTAAAAGTAAAATTAAATTCAAAATCTGACTCTGTAAAGCATATTTATCTTTAGCCAAAAAGTCTGTTATCGTGACCGTTAAACAGTTACTCTTATTGAAATTGGAAATTAGAAACCAACATTCACTCAAAGATGTTCAGCAGAAAAGAAATGTACCATGAAGGTTAGAGCTTACCGCAAAGTCACCACCATTTATGAAAGTAATCATCCCATTATATTCAGTAGTTTGGAATAAAGTCACAAACTGGCTTATAGTGACGATCAAGAACAGAAGAAGAAGATATATTCTAAATCGGTGGCTTATTTTGGAGAGATAGAAGCGTAAACGAGCATGCTCTTGTATTAATACCAAACAATCATGTTCTCTTTCCAAAAGCTTCCCATATTCCTCAAAATGTATTATTTGCAAGTTGCAAACCACATGGAACAAAATACATGCCGAAAGAAATATTGTCGTCACGCAAGTCCATGAAAGGATAAGGGCGAATAAAATAGCAACAGAGTGCCACCATGACTCATGACGAACGTATAAAATGCGGATGACTTCACGTGCAGACTTCAGAATGAAACAAGGCAGCACCCATAACACTAGCAAGCGCATAGAATTCTGCGAAAACAAAATCCCCGTCAAACTTAAAAAGTCCCTTTGAAATTGATACCGACCAAAAAAAAAAAAAAAAAAATCAACATTTTCATTCTTGGTCAGTCAGTCAAAGTTCTCGCAGTAATCATGAAACAAAAACTGAAAGGGAAACATTGAGCTTCATATGTTGCATAAAGTTAAAAATAGGTCATATTATACAAAACTCCTACTTATCATAGAAATAAGTAATCAATTGTGTGAATTTTCTTAGCACCAACCAATGAATCAAAGCCTTGGCAAACAAACTCTAAACTCAAATAGTCGCTCATAATCATCTACCTTATGTATTTTCAAAGAAACACGACATACACATAAGCAGTTAGCACAAATTCATAAGATCACAACGGTCAAAGACACGCATTATTAGACTAACGTAAACACATAGGGGATGTTTTGTAATGTAGACTGGACAATTTTAAGAAAGAAAGAAAAAAGTTGAAAGATTGAATATTATACAGTATAGTTGTCTAATAACTTGTACCAAACATGTCAATAATCACAATGAAAATCACAGTTAATTGAAGCAGAACTCACTGAAATCTTCTGAATATACTGGTCACCGAATCTCTCCACATGTCCACTATATCGATCAACAAACAGAAATTTCCTAATACCATACTTTCTTAAATTATGAGAAACGCACACCAGAGATGCAGCTGCTAAACAAGCCTGAGAAATCACGATATCAATTTCAAAAGTCTTGATCTGACCCTTCTCACAACCTGGGCAATTGGAAAGCTCAAGAATCACAACAGGGAGCGAAATTCCAATCAGCAAAAGAAAACCCCAAGAAAGCACAAAACTCAACACCGTGGTTTGATTAAATCCTAAAATTGTGAGAAATAATTCCAACTGCAAAAGGGTTTTATCCAAAGTGGTTTCATTATCATTTTCTTGACGATTTTCAAGAAGAGGGGTCTGGTCTAGTGGGCTCCTTGATTCATCTGCTCGTATTTGTATTGGACACTCGGCCATATATTGAAAAGTAATAATAATAATAATAATAATAATAATAACTGATATTTATCAGTGGAAAATATTTTATTTGCAGGTAACCCAGTTGAAAAAACAATTCGATGATCTTGAAAAGAAAGGGAAATGATAGCCAGATAATGATTTGCAGAAGTAAATGTATGGGCTCTCAATAAAGAGCAAAACCATTTGTACAGCACTATGTAGAAGGATACTAGAAGATTCTTACATAAAACGTCCCATAAAGTTGGGTTTAGTCCCGGGTTTTTCCTTGGTTTTCTTGAAAAAGCGTACCTTGGAAATCGACCTTAAAGCCAACGTTTCATTGTCCAGTTGTCAGCTGGTGCAGGGAAAGCTTGATGCCATGCGTACACGAGAGTTTTCCCTCTATATTTAATTATTTTAGATGACACCGTAAAGGGGTAATGGGGTATTGTTCTTTTGTGATGCTGATTCTCTGGCAAAAAAGATATTGGTAGTTATACTTCAGTGTCAGCTTGAGACCTATAGTAGATATTTTGAACGATTGAAAAATTATAGAAACTCTATCTAAGCCCCAGTTTGGCCCTCATTACGGGGGAAATTTAATGTATAGAATAGTATTTTTTGAAAAATGAGTGGTTGAAAAAGAAAGAAAAATTTTCGATTTACGTGTAATATTATTTTATGGAAGATTGTGTGGTTGAAAATAGGAGAGAGAAAAATAGAATTTAATATAATGTAATGTAATGAAAATCAAACAAGGGCTAAATCACGAATGGCCAGAATTTCATAATCTCGAACAATGAAGAACTCAATTTCAAGATACTTGTTTACATTTTGCTTAAGATGTTATTTGTCCTCTCTAAATCATGATGTAGTCGAGAATATAAATACATACTAAGGACCTGTTCGATATTGATTTTGAGAATTGATTTTTTGACTTTTAGGAGAAAAGTGGGAACTATCTATGAGTGAAGAAATCAAAAGTACGACTGGAATGGTGAAATAACGATCAAAAATCAATTTTTTAGAGTGAAAAATCATTCTCAAATAGGCTCTAAGATACAATAAACCCTTCACATATTGTATGAGTTGTGCATACACGAAACATTACTAGTGTCAAAGTACAATGAAGTTTATACTATGGCCAATGACGAAGTTCAAAGAGGACTTTGAAAAGAAATGAATACCCAAAATAATTTAGAGCAAGAATTTAGGTGGACACGAAAAAGAAATTAATGGAAAGACTATACCATTAATATCTTGTATATTTCCATCATCATCTCATCATTAGAACTTCAAATTTGTATGTAGATTTGTTTCCAACTCTTCCCAAGAGTGACAATGTTCCATTAGAGTCGCAATTATTGTATTGTATGTTACATAATAAAAGAAAAGATGCCAAAAAATCGGATGCCCAAAAATCTTTAAGTTTATTATTAAAGAATCCCACCCAGTCAATGCAAATTTATGGTAAGGTTCCTTGTGCTTGAATAATTGTTTTTTTTTGGATTGTCACTTTGTCTAAAGAAATTTAATAGATACAATGACATAATTCGAGATGACAATAGATGATTTGATTGAAAAACTGATTGTATTTAAGGTCAATGATAAAATATCATATATGTTATGAAAGTGAAGAAAAGATAAGAGAATAAAAAGAAGTCAAGAGACTTGTGTGTGTTTTATTAAGAACCAAAACTTTATATTTATAGCGCAGAATCAGGGATATAACGGTAATTATTTCTATGGCTGTAGGGGTGTAATTATCATTCACCAATAAACCCTAATAAACTTTCCATTTTACAACACTCCCCCTTGAATGACACATTACAAAATATCTATCTCATTGAAATATTAATTGGCAAAAATCCAATGGGACAAAAATACCAACAAAAAAGAGTAAAAATAATTTGGAGTAATAAAATCATGCTTCGTTAAAACCTTGTCAAGAAAACCCAATGTGACAAAACTTGATCGAAGGAAAAAAAGTACAGCTACTCCCTCTGATTTCAATTCTTGTATTAATTCATCATTGCCTTGGACGTCACTGTCTTCAATATTGCAACGTCGGTGAAATGCATCATGTTGTCTTGTACAATCTTCAAATAACAACGTTTTCGTAAGAGATACTTTATCATTCTTTGATAACTGTATTAATATGATGATTCGAAAAATAGCTATTGTTGATCTCTTCAAGAGTCTCTTACATATAATGTATTATCTTGAGGATAAATGTCTTGCATGTTATAGACATTAATTATACGAAGAATATGCCTCATTAAAACCTTATTAGGAAAAATCCCGAGGGAAAAAATCCTAATGAAGGAAAAATAGTACATTATTTTTTTTAAATACGCTACAAAAGTTGCCTCATTAAAAACCTTGTCAAGAAAATTCAATGGGACAAAACCTTGATCAAGGGAAAAAGAGTGCAACGCGTATTTACTCCCCCTCGTACTAATATCACTTGAATTATAATTTAGGCATATTAAATCTTTCAAGATAACATTGATAGCCACGCCAGATGTGTTGGCTATAATCAAATTTGTATCAAATTCTATGCATTGTTAGGCTAATAAAACTGAAACTTGTAATTATATCCACCACATGATAATTTATCTATTTATATAAGTTTTCGCTAAATTCATTATGTAAAGAGTCGTATATTTCATATTACGACTTTACTTTTCTACTTTCATAAATATACACCTTTTGGTGTTCGAACTATAGATCCAGAAACTTCAAGTTTCTCTAATAAGTTTAATTTGACTAGGATCACGTCCATTTTATTTGGCTAATCACTATTTCGACGGATATATTTCAACGAATTTATTTCGATTTCTCGCTATTCATAATATGATGTAGTACACCATATGTAAAAATGTTTGCCGGCAACCTTTTCTTCTATTGTTCGATTCTATTTCTATCTCTACGATGACATAACTTATTGAGATATCTCAATTTTCAATATATCAGGTACCTGAACCTCTTCTGGGGTTTTATAATCTGTTATGTCTAAATGCTCATAAGAGTGTATGCCTCCTTAATGAGATAATCTTTGCCAATTACTCCATTTGGAGATTTTTTTTTATTAGAATCGAATATCATCACGCTTCAGGCGTACCATCAAATATCATATTAACTAATTGTCCTCTGTGACGTTAATTCAAGTTGGAGCATTTGAAGCTGGTGTGTAAGATATTATTGATCCATTTGATCAGTAAATGCATCTAAATAAATTATATTTCGAACTTCTGGTTCTAGTGATCTTTTGCGAGGATTTAGATAATAATGTATTTATACATTATTTTCAACTTTTTAATTCCTCCCCTTAATGCTGAGATAATTGTCAAATTAAATTGACAAATGTTTTTACTGCATTATAAAATATCACAATTTATAATAAAGGTTCATACTATGCATTTATTCTTAGTATTTATTACTTTCCATCTCAGTGCATTGTAGTGGATCAATTTTATACATACTGCACTATTAAAATAATTAGATGGAAAATTTAGGCGCTAACCATAAGCCAATTTTAATAGGGAGAACTATGATATTGACAAGATACGTAATAACATTCCCTAAACGAAAATGTGAAATATATTTTTCTCAATTAAATTAATTGAAGGCGTTTAACAAACAAGCGGTGGGTGACAGGGCCCCATATATCACCCTAATTTATTTTCAGATATATAGGAAATTTAATCCCAATTTTAGCTAGTAGCCTTTAATGATCAATTGTCGATAATGAGAACAAATGATACATAGAAATTTATTGGATTTAAAAATCTTCTAGTTCTTCATTTTAATTTCGCATCATTGTTTATCCAGTGATGGTCCAACTGGTCATGCCAATCAAATTGAATTTCTGGTTCAATATAAGATATAATCCAATTATTTAATTTCAAAGAATATGATTAAATATTATATAATCATATAATGATCAATGTCCACGTGACATAAGTCGTATGTTTTCCTCCAGGGATATACACAAATTCAAAATGATATATTCTTCAAAAATGTACTACTTCGAGAGTACATTAAAATTAATTATTGCTTCTTTAAGAGCAATATAAATATTTTTCTGAAATATTGATATATACCTAGTTATGATTATTTACAAGTGATAGAATAATATTTTTCAGGAATATTGACACGTTTAAATTAATCATGACATTTTTCTAAAATATTAATATGCATAAATTTGTGTTTCTTTAGGACCACAATACTGTATTCTTCAAGAATATTATTTTCCCTTCTTTTGGAACTATATATCAATATTTTTCTTAAAAATATTGAAATTATAACGACGTGCTCTCCAATAGCATATCATGTTTTGAGAATATTAAAACACCAAATAGTATGCTCTTCTAGAGCGATAAATTAATATTCTTCTCGAATATTAGTAAAATAAGGAAATTATTTTCCTTTTAAAAATTACAGCTAGTATTGAATTACTTGTGTTTTTTCAAGAACACAATGAGGTATAATTCTTCAAAATGTGTGCTACCTCAAGGATATGTCGTGTTTTATTTTTACTTCTTTAAAAACAATATATCAATATTCCTTTGGAATATTGAAAGTTATACAAGAATTTACTCTTTAGAAGTAAAAACATAATTTTTAAATTATGATCTTCGGGAGCAAGTAAAATATAACTAGAACATTAATAATAATGCGCTGATTCAAGAGCAAAAATATTTTATAGTAGACAAATATACGAGTATTAAAATCATGTATTATAAGAGTAAGAACGAGATAATTAATCAAACGATAAACAATAGTAATGAACATTTAGTGATGAACCTAATTTAATAAATGGTACTTATACAATCACAAACCGCAATAATTAAGTGTCCACATTGTTTAATATAAACTTAAAATTTGTCACCAAAATTTAACTAAATACTGTGACATAATTATGCGTACATATACGCGTAAAATTAATATTACCTTCTATCGAATATGAAGACGAACTGCAAACTTACATAGATAGTATTGCCTCAGAACCTCCGGTACAAGAAGAAATTGATGATAAATTTGGGTTGCTACAACTTTGGATATTAATCATCAACCACGAAGGAGATTTGCACACATGGTGGTGACATATCTTGGGAATGGTCAGACACATAATTTAGATGAATACGTCTATTAGTAATATCATGCTTTTTTGGAGTAATTAATATTCTTTTGGAATATTTTTATAACGTGGATTGTGTTT